AACTACCCAAACTGGGCAAGGCCTTCCCTGACTGCTAACAACCCCGGGATATAAAGTGCGTGCGTAACATTAAGGGTCCCATTTTGAGGGTTCCAAGAAGTCTATATTGGGGTATGGGGATTAATTATTATTGGGAATTACGCAGCGGTTGCTTCGAGAAACTCCCATCTGGATCCCAATCCACTATAGACCTGAGCCCCAAACCCTAAACCCTGTAGTAAGCAAGCTTAAACCCAGGACCCCTAATCCTAAACCCTAAACCCCTAAAACACTAAACCCTAAACCCTATTGACTTTAGGGACTCTCAAAAAGGACTCTGGGTTTCTTGAAACCGCCTTCCGAGCTCTATAGGTTTGGGATTCTGAGTCACAGTGTTTAATGTGTCGGGCTTAGGCTTTAGGGTTTAGGGGATGTTCGGGGTAGTTCGTTATCAACGTTCAGTTGTATAGGGCTTTAGTGCTTGGTGGTTGGGGCTTGGGTCATATATAAAAGACGCAGATAGGTGCATTGCGAAACACCCGCATCACACGGCTTGGAAGTCGAGAGTTTAGAGCTCACGGCCACCAAATGAATTTCAGTAACATCTACAAGCCAAGAAACACCAGCGTCATCAAGTGAACCTATGGTGGTTTCTACTTGTAGGCTTTATACCAAGACACACAACATGGTGGCCAGCCAAGTTGCTGGCTCAGCCAAGTTGCCAGCTCTAAATCTTGAGGACTGCAAAAAGTCCGAGGAATACAGGACCCTACGAAGCCACTCGCATCATGCATCTGGTCGCCAGCTTGCGCATACGCGCACGAGGCAAGCCTGAACCCTAAACCCTAAGCCCTAAACCCTAAGCCAACCACCATTGGATGCAGGCCCTGGGTCTCAGGAAGTCGAGCATGGTCGCCTGGTCTACCTTCTCCTACTCCTACTTGTAAATACGAATGATAAATTTTTTCTCATTAAAGGAGGACACCCCCCCACCTGCAATAGCGGTATAATAAGAATATAAGATGGCCCTAAAATAATCCCTATTATCCCTTATAGTCACTATCATTGGGTGGGGGGTCCACCTAGGTCGTACTCATATTGATATGAGTATTAACACGCATGACTGTGAGTATTAGTTAACATCAGTGTTAGTGAATAATAGGGAGGCACATTGATATACTATCAATGCCCATGGGCACATACTCAAATGAACTGGTCTCAGAACAAGGAAGGGCAGGCATATCAACCCTATATAATCCCTGTAATCCCTATAGTTTCCATGTTCTTTTCCATTCTCCCAATATGACCCCTATACTATTCCCATAAAAAGCCCAAATGCTTAACGCTTTCAAGGCTCAGTGCTGCTACCGCGGGACGAAATGTCCTAAAGGCCAGAGGCCGACCATGGAAGAGTCCACCGTAAACACACGGTTTGGGGTTGAGGGTTTAGGGTCTAGGGTTTAGGGTTTGGGGTTTGGGTTCGGGGTTTAGGGTCTAGGGTTTGGGGTTCAGGGTATGGGTTCTAGGGTTTAGGAAGACCCTGAAACTCACAGGGAACTCTGGCAAAAGGATACATCAAGGTCCAACTCAGGCAAAATACTTTGAAGGATCCTTGATCTAATTAGCCCAGGGCCGGCCCGCACACCTAGCCCCTGCTTTAACATGACTCGGAAAATTAAGGACCCAGAACCCCCAGAAGGGGAAAAGCGGCCTACTGCGGCAACCGGACACAATACCAGGGCTTGGCTAAAGCTGAATCCTCCGCCGTCCGCTGTAGATCCTGGCAAGGAAGCTCTCAGAACAAAAGTGCAGTATTCAGGACCATTGGGACATGTTGGGAGCTATGCGGAGGTTGTAGGGGTACCTAACCTCTAAACCCTAAACCCTAAACGGCCCAAAGCCCCTGAACCCTAAACCCCTAAACCCCGAACCCCTAAACGCTACACTCTAGGAATATGTTGGTAGACTCCCACATCTGAACCATCCCGCCAGTTGTAGGGAACTCAAGGTTGCACTCTCAGATCAAAGGTGTAACTTGGATCGCCAGAGGCTGCTGCTTGACATGAAAAAGCCACAAAGATGTGGGGGTTTCCCAAAATTAGGGAGGGTACCTTTAAGGGGGCTTATAGGGCTATCTAGGGGTTATATAGGGTTTCAGGGCTTCCCAAAATTAGGGGTGCCTTTTTGGGGGGCCCAATAATAAGGACTGAGGTATTTTGCGGTCTATATTGGGTTCTTATTGGGTTCTCCTATTCAGGGAAATTACCATATACAGTAGAGGATTACATGAAAACAGTTTCTTTTTTGGGGTACATCAAAGAAAAGGATGCCCAAGTCAAGCTGGCACTCAGTGTTTACCATGCCTCTGTACAGTTGGCACTTACAATGCTTATTATTTGCATGGAGGAAATCTGGCACCACTATAAGTACTTAATACATTAGGACATTAGGAAGTACATAGTACTTGCAGCAGATTGGGGATCTCAAGTGGCGCAAGATTTCCTCCATCCACAGTAGAGCCGGACCGTGCTGCGCGAGCGCCTGGCTTTAACATCTCAGAGTCTCAGAGCACACTCGAGACACAAGGACATTTTCCACACTGTGATTGCTGGCGATGCGTCCTCCCCTCCATCGCACAAAGGATAAGAGCTGACACACAAAGTACTTTGAAGGCAGGAGTGATTGGTGCTTGTCCCTGCACTAACCTGGTTTTGCTATATAACAAGGAAAGATTCACAGGGCACGGGCGTCTCACCCAGCATTCAGCTCGGCCCATGCTTTCCAGGAGCCGCGAAGCATCGCTCGGCGCCGCTTGGACCCTCGGGTGATAGTGGGCTGGAAGTCAAAGGAGCAACCACATGACTCTGCTTTCTCATGGATCGCCTCCAAGGTCTGCAGGATGAAGGAGCAGTTGTCTCGCTGGTGCAGGTTGTTTCCCAATGCCTTCCTCCAGTGCTTGGCCAAGGTGTCAAGGATGCCCTGGATGACCACCGTGGTTTCACGCCTGGCTTTGTCTGGAGCGAACCTGCTGTTGCCGGTATCGAACATCTCCAAATGGCTGTAGATCCCCATCGTCATCCCAAGCAGTTTCTCGAACTCCTTGATGGCCTGCGTCAGATTGTCACCTGGGGTTCCACCATCCATGCGCTTGGCAACTTCGTAACCTAGAAGCTGGGCCCCGGCCATTTCGTTATCCAAGCCGTTCTGGATCGTCTTGAAGAGCCGCTGCTTCGCGATCTCAATGTTGTATTCCATCAACCACCAAGATGTCATTCCGCCCTCTGTGAGCCACAAGCCCGAGCCTGAACGTGCCTCTCCCATTGCCTCAGATGGTCCTGCGTGCGCCTGCTGAAGCGATACGGACCCTGGAGCTGAGCCAACCGGCACGAAAGTGAGTTCCGACCTTTATCCCAGTCGCCAGACAGGGTTCAAGCGCTCCAAACGTAGGATAGGCAGTTGTTCAATAGAGATGTGAGTATTTCCTATGTGGAATCGACAGACACACAATTCAATTTCTATGGAAGATTTACTTATCTGCTGATGTGTCCAGACCGTGTCCTCCGAAACAAGCATCCAGCTACAACACGGCTCGCCAACCAAAACTAGAAAGCCGCAAGAAGCCGCCAGAACTGGAACCCCAATGTTAGTCTCAAAATCCTGACAGACCTCCGCAATCCTAGCAATCCTCCTCGGCGTAGCGCCGAAAGAAAGTATACACAACGGACAGGCGCAACTGTTCTAAACCGCAAGCCTCACACATCCTCAGATTCTGGGCCCATTTAAGCCCACAAGAATCTGCGTGAAATGTTCTACTGCTCTTCAATCCCCAAAAGACCTGTCACTGTTCCGTTCCCCACCAATTCCCTTCCCCACCCCTTCCTCCCCTAAACCCTAAACACTAAAACCTACATCCTAACTCCGAATTAAACACTAAATCTAGATTATAACCTCTACACCCTAATCCTCACCCCCTAAACCCTACACCCTACAGTAATTCCCCTAAACTCTCCCCTCTTCCCTTCCGCGTGCCGCCCTTCCCCCTTTTGGCCGGGCCGACCCTAGCAGCGAGGGCCCTCACCTTACAGCCACATAGGTCTATGAGATGCAGAGTTTGGGGTTTTGGGATGGGGTTTAAGGGTTTACGGATTGAGAGCTTAGTATACAGAAAGGTACTTAATTATAGGGGCTTAGGGTTTAGGGTTTAGGGGTTGTAGGTTTAAGGGGTTCTACACTTGGGTGCTTCTGGACCAAAGACCTAGGAGAGGTATAGGGTTGGAGACCCACACTCAAGGATTGTACTGCGAGATGCCAACACGAAATTACGAAACACGACGTACCTGAGCACAAGGGGGTCTCGGTTCTAACCTGATGGTACTGAGACTAACTAATCCCTTCCCAAAACATACTAACCCCCCCTAATATCACAGGTTCCCTATAAGACACCTCATATCATTGTGCGCAAATTATGTGGGGAAACAGATTGAATATGAGGGCCGGGGGTGGGTTAACATTAGTATGAAGAGAACAGATTATTGTGTAACTCGCCTTACAACGTAGAGCAAAGGCTGCACCCTGTTCAGCCATACAGCTGTTATTACTTTTATGATTACTATCATTATTACTATGTTTCTTGCTACTACATGATCACTCCTAGTACTACTACTGTTCTTACACATACTGCTATTAATGCTAAGTCTCTCAAAGAGCAAGTCTAGACAAAGGAGGCGCTGTACCACATTTCAATATTGCCGACATCATCCAACAGACCCATGCCTTACACTATGTGTGTAATATTACAATAGTGAAATAGCAAGATAGTATAGCAGTATAGTAATACACTCGCATGATCGTTTCAGTGTATAACACTGTAACAGTACCATGGTATAACAGTATAAAAGTATAGTATAGTAGTATAATAGTTAATAGTCGGATAGTATAATGGTATAATAATGTAATAATAGGATTGTATAATAGCATACATCTCCCATGATTCCATTGCTCACTCTCCACGAACATCATCTCTAATCAGGTCCCGCCACCGTCCTATGTAACACGCGCGACCATGGATTCGAAACCATGTTGCCCCAACTCTGCGAGCTAAAGTGCTTAAACGTTCAACCTCCGAATCCTGAACCACGGCTGTCATAAGCCCTGAGTCCGAAATCCCGAACCCCTTATCCTGAACCCTATAACCCAGACCCAGAACTCAACCAACCCCTACAGCGCAACATGAAAATTACTTGATTTATACTACACTTGCTTTTGTGTAGGTTGTGGGGCAGCGAGATACTGGTCTTCCAACATTCCCCAAACCCTAAATGCTGAAGTCTGAGCCTTGACCCTAAACCATCAAATACCTAGAGCCCCATACCCTAAACTGATAACCCTACACCATCCTATACTATACCTTACTTACACTATAAACCCGAAACCCTACACCCTAAAACCTAGACCCCCAGAGTCAACCCTCAACCTTCTGGGCCAGGCACAGCGGGCGCAGTCGTTGCTCTACTCTCCTCAGCCTCCGAACCCTCGGTGGCGTCGGGTGCCTCCTTTGCAGGGTTGAGCTTGTAGGATTTAGTTTGAGGACTTTGGGATTCAGGGTCTTAGGATCTGAATCAAAGGTGTTGGTGCTTCCGTCTTCAGAATTCCAGTCGGATGGAGAGTTTGAGGATTAAGGGCTTACGGGTTAGGATTCAGGCTGGGCTTGCGTTTTTTGGCTTGTTTATGATGCTTTGAAAAACCTGAACCTAACAGACTTTTACGTCTGCCAATGGCACTGCGGTCCCTGGGTTCTGTTGCACTGCCCTGACTGTGGGCACATACTGATCCATCAGAATTTTGTGGGAGGTTGACACCTTGCGCACCTGTATCTCAACCCTGAGCCCCAACTAGAGGTTCCAAGTTTAGACTTCAAGGCTTCGGGTGATCTAGGCCCCAAGCCCCAAACTTTATCAGGGCCTCTCAGAAACATTGGACCCTGTCGGAGGAAGTAACGTGTAGGTTTTACACCACGGGGGTTAGCCCACGGAACCTTAACATGTACTGGTTCCGATCTATGAGCTTAGAATAATCTAAATCTCTGCAGGAACTAGCGTGTTCAGGCAGTTCTGATCAAACCCAACAAGTCAATGACCGAAGAAAGTAGGCTCCTCTGGCTATGGGACAGAATAATTTACAGTAGTTCGCTTGCCAGCCACACGAGCCTCGAAGCATCCCAATATTATACGCAGTCCCACAAAGACCCTTTTAGAGGAGAAGTAGTCTAAGTGACGAAACTTTTGGGGTTCCATCTTAGTCGAGGAGAGTGAGAGCATAATGTAGACCTGTGATTACTAAACTCCCTCCTTTTAAGAGCTTTAATATTAGGATCCCTAATATAATCCCTATAAAGAGGAGGGGGTTTATTAATCAAGGGTCCACATGAGTGCTCTCAGGGGGCCTCCTGGGCTTCCAAGATCTCTGGACCCTCGACGACCTCCTGTGGACCGGGAACCTCAGGCTCTGGTCTCTCGGAAGCCTGGCAAAAGAGATTCTAGGTAATGTTGGGATAATAAAGGATAATATAGGGCTATATAGGGAATATAGGGATACCGGAAAAGAAAATGGAAGCAACCAATATTCTGTAATATACTAGAATATCTACTACGTTGATGTTAGAAGCCACATGACTGCAATGTCAGTGTCAGACCCCAAGACGGCGGAAGGGGGAAAAGCAACATAAAGCATGCTATTTCCATCTTCCAACTTTCTTGCCTTTATTGTAGGGCTTCGTATAGAAGCTCCACAAAGCCCGAGACAGTCCCGTGACTTCTCCTGTTCAATAGCATGAGGATCTGTCTGTGAGGAGTCTTTCAAGCCACTTGAAGCATAACCTTCTCTCGTACTCGCCACAGCCCCATCTTCACTTCGAAGTGCAGCCATTCTCCTACCCCTTTAGGCCGGGGCATAGTCACCATAATGCAGTACGAGATGCCAAGCCACGTGTGCTGAAACCAGCAGCTCTACTGCCCGTGATGCTTGCAGGGTGTTCGAGTTGCTCGAAATGGGGCGCCTTAGGGAGTTCAGGGGTACATAGAGATTACTACCTAGGGTTCTAAAGGGATTCTATTCAGAAACTCTGACATCCCTAAAAAGTCTGACATATATTGCGGATAACCAGGCTCTAACAAAGTGCATTAAGGCATTCTCCGGGCAAGATTAACCCATTCCTGGTTGAGGGTCGTAGACTCAGACTGCCCTCAAGTAAAAGAGGATTCATGAGACGGGTGCATCTCAAAACAACTCCCATAGAGAAAATCCTGAACAGTGACCCCCATAACCTCTCTATAATCTCATATACACCCTTTAGGCGTTTTTTGAGCAATCCTACGGTGAGACATCCATACCATGGCCTCGGCAGGTTCAGGCGCCTCGGACTCCTCGTTGTCCTCCTGAATAACCAGAGGTTTGGGGATTTGAGGTTTCGGGTTGAGGGCTCAAGGTTTACGATTCGAAGTTTAGGATTCAGGGTTGAGGGTTCAGAGTTCATGATTTAGGTTTAGGCTTCTAGTTTACGATGCTCTGCTCCATATCACACTGGGGGATGTAGAGAGATCTTCATGGTATGTAATATTCATTATGCAGGGCCCGTAGGGTCATATTCATACTTGGGGAATAGTAGAAGAAATCACCACCCAAACCGTAATAAGGAGCATGGAATCTGATAAGGTGAGGGCACTTGACAACAGGAATCGGGATGAGATGCGTCAGGGAGGAGCTTCAAAGGTCCCCAAGTTAACATGGGACCCTTAAGCAGGTTTACCTAGCCTACTATCCCATTAGAAGGGGTGTGTGTGGAGTTCCATGTTCGCTTGGGGGAGTGTACCACTTTGTAGCTAATTTCTCGGCGACCTGAGCCTCTGGCTTACGGAAAGGATTGCGGTGCGGAGTACGGCTTTTGTGTATGTAGAAATGTGCACCACCAGGAATATCATTCCATTGCGACCCACTCATAATAGTAACATAGTATAACCCAAGACCCGATTGGAATATCAAGGCCCCTACCTACATTCTGATCTTCTCCATGCCCCATGGAGTTTTTGGACAAAAATCCCTTGTCGAGCTGATGATGGAGTTCGATTTGACGCTGGCCTGCTAATTGTTCAGAAGCTCTGAGGCGCAGGGTCAGGGGCAGGGGACTGGGATTCGGAAAAAGTCAACAACAAAAAATGCAGTGTGCAATTCCACGGAGTACCCCTTGCTGCATGTCACCTAGAAGCCTGTTTGTTGCTCCGCTCTTCCGAGGATGACAGGGCACCCTGTCCCATGTCTCTTGCTGC